ATTCTATTCTATTCTTCATTCTGTTCTGTTCTGTTCTATTCTATTCTGTTCTATTCTATTCTATTCTTCATTCTATTCTGTTCTGTTCTGTTCTGTTCTGTTCTATTCTATCAAGAGACTTCATCTCCAAAGTGGTTGGAAGAAGCTGAAACCTGCTGGGAAGCCTTGGAAGAACGGTGGAACAGCAAGGAGGAAAATTGAAGGGGAAAGGAGCAAGAAGGATATCTATAGGTGGAGAAGACTTACCTGTTCCTTTTCTAAAACCCAAGATGGCGATGGAAAAAATAGGTAAATGTGGAAGGTGTTCCAAAAAAAAAAAAAACCACCAACCCTCAAAAGTCCTTGAAAGGAGGATAGGTAGTCCTTCAACTTACAACAGTTCATTTAGTGATGGTTTGATGTTACAACACTGAAAAAATGACTTTATGATCGTTTTTCACACTTACGACCATTGCAGCGAGCATCCCGTGGCCACATTCATCAAAATTCAGATACTTGGCAACGGACTCATACTTATGACGGTCGCAGTGTCCCCGGGATCCCCTTTTGCGACCTTCTAGCAAAGAAACATCAATGAGGGAAGCCTTAACAAGCGTATCACTCACTTAACAAATGCAATGATTCACTTAACAAGAAAAGTTGCAAAATGGGGCAAACTCGCTTAACAAATGTTTCACTTAGCAACATCAATTTGGGGCTCCCTGGTGGTCACAACTCAAGGACTACCTGTATATAAAAACGTTCTGAAAATTCAGACACTGAATTAGAAAAAAAAAAAAAACTCAACTGGCTTCCTGGTGTGTGTTTACTACTAGCCATTGGAAATGCTGCCAACTCTCCAGAGAGACGAAAAATGTGGCCCTTCTACCCATAACCTCAGCCAGCCAGCCTTGGTTGTTTGTAACCCTTTATGATACTCTACTTAAAAAGAAGGCATAATTTGCTTTCTGGTTATTCAGGTGCATAACAACAACTCTTATTATTGTGGAGGGTGTGCCAGGTTTTCTATATTTCTTCATTATTATTACCTCTATTGTCAGAGTACAACATGTGTACAATGAGATTGCTTGAGCCTCTGTTCTGACCCAAACCTGGTTCCGAGAGAGTAAACACAAGACAAAGGTACCAGCACAACCTTTTACTGTTTCATTTACGAATCCTGTCTCTTCACAGATAAAAGACTGCTTCCAACTAATTAGCTCTGATAAGGAAGATCCTTGCCAAGTTTTTTGCAAGGCTGCCAAGAACAGCAGATAAAGTTCCTAAACAATAAATCAAAGAGTCTCCAAATTCCAACTCAGATATTCTAATGTCTACCAGGCTCGAGTATCAAACTTCTTTGCCTTCTGCAAAGAACTGCAGTTTCTCAGCTGGCTTTTATCTCTTAAGGGAGGGGACATTACCTTGCAGCCTTACGCCTTACTCCTGAGTCGCCCGTGCTGCTGCAGCTGCTCTTTCCTTCAAGCAGCCCTGCGTGCATGCACACTGGGCACAGGATCCTCGGGGTCCTCTTCATCACAGCTGCCAGCCTCCACAATCTCCGAAGCCAGCATTCCACTCCCTGATGGTCCTGGCCCCATCCCTGCATCACACGCAGGACCCTCATCTGAGTCCTCGCTCTCCGAGACCTCAGCCGTCCACACCTGCTGCTGGCGAACCACAACAGTCTCCCTTCATTCACACACACCTGCAACACAACTCACAGTGAGGACAGAAGTCTCTACCCAATCCCAATCTCATTAGATTATGTGACCTTGTTGCCCTGCGAGTCTATCATACTTTTAGTAACTGCCTCGTTATTTATTTTTAATATTTTACTCTCCCAAGAGTCACTTATATTGGGCAGCTTTACAAATCCAATATGTTAAATTAAATATGATATAGTACTTTGTCATTTCTTGCCGGTCTTTCTTTTTGGAAGGACATCACATAAACCACCCTGTGGTGAATCTTTGAAACAGGGGGAGAAAAAAGACTTCTTTTAGCTTTTCTAATTACTTTGTTGAAAATATATATACATATCTACAATATATATGTGTGTGTGTCTGTGTGTGTGTGTGTGTGTGTGTATAACACACACACACACACACACACACACATATATGTTGTGGCTCCGGGTTTGGATTCTGCTCCTGTGGCAGATATGAGTTCAAGTGATGAGGACATGGCAGCAAAATATGAGGTGGCATTGCTTAGTGATTGGGATAGTAACCAGGATGAGGAGATGGATGTAACAAGGGAAGACAGACCTGAAGTAATAGAGTTGTCAGGACCTTCGACCTCCTCTGGTTCTTTATCTGATCAGCAGCCGGGAATGGCTGACAGGGAAGGCATGAGAGAGTTTTCCAGCGGAGAGGAGAATTTGGAGAACTTATGGTTAGACGTCAGAAACAGAAGGAGGCTGAGAAGACAAACCCAGTTAGAAAGGAAGCGTAGAGCTAGTCAATAATTAGGGAAATTAGCACGCTTCATAAGTGAATAAAAGGACACGGCTGGGCTGGTGGAATTCGCCAGAAGCAAAGTGACTAATTGGGAGTGAAGACATGCAGCAAACTCTCTGAGGCTTGTGATTTACTGCCACGCCAGGATTGCCAGACAGAGTGAGGATTTATTGCTGTGTATTGGAATTTACTCCAGCCGTTCTCTTGTGGGGGTTTGTTTTTGATTTGAATTAATTCTGAAACAGCTGCTTTTTGTTTTGCTCGCCTGCAATTAAAGGGGAGACATTATATATATATATATATAGAAACGTTGCCTAGATACTTCCAATCTTACGCAGGAGAAAACCCGAATAACCAAAGATCCATATATATATATATATATATATATATATATATATATATATATATATAATTTTTCTTAAGTTTTCACGGGTACTTACATGTATGGTATTCAGCTTTGTTCGGGTATTTTCCCACGTCATTATAGTTGCGCTTTTAAAGTTGTAGCAATGTTTCGGCAGAATCTCAACTGCCCTCATCAGGCTTCTGTATTGTGTTCATCTGTGAGTCAGACTTTGCACTGGCACAAAGCCGAAAGCACAAGCCTGAGGATGGCGAGTGGGACCTCGCCAAAACGTCACCAAGATACTCTTAATCTTACACGGGAAAAGACCTGAACACACCTAGACCTCCATACCTATACCCGTGAAAATCTACGAAAACATACACACACACACACACACACACACACACACACACACACATGTGTATCTATCCATACATACATGTATAAATATATTTCCTGACAGTTAGACCAATTCATCAGTGGAATGACTTGCCTTTAGAAATTGTGGGTGCTCCATCACTGGAGGTTTTTAAGAAGAGTCTGGACAGTCATTTGTCCGAAATGGTCTCCTGCTTGAGCAAGGGGTGAGATTAGAAGACCGCCAAGGTCCCTTCCAATTCTGCTATTCTGTTATAGACATGCACACATACATACATACCTATGTACGTATGAACAATAAGGTCACATAAAAGTATATAAAGAATATATGTGTGTGTGTGTTAGCATATTTATATATAGAAAATCAAGAATTAAAGTAATTATAGATAGATAAAATAATAAAGTATATTTTATACATATTATTACTATTACAAATTAATATTAATTATATTAATTTGCAATAGTAATATGTATAACATATACTTTATTATTTTCTATGGATATATCATTATTTTGTTGGTCTATTTTCTATATACCTTTACTTTATTACTTTGTTGATTTTCT